ATTTGCAATTCACGAGCCCTGTCGATGGGATGGGCCCAACTTGTGATCGAAGTAAAGAAAACACTTAACAATACTTACCTGCTCATTGTGAAGATTACAAACTGCACACACTCCCCTTCTCCCCATGCACCTTCCACCAATATACTCCACAGGCGACCGCTCTGCCGTGGCGTCATGGTCAGCACGCGAGATTTGCAATGTCGGAGTCGCCAGTTGAGTCTCCCGGTGTGGAAGTTTAAACAGTTGGGAAGATTCATCTTCTTGGTTCTTTCGGTAAAGTCACGTAGAATGGAAATAATAAAATAATAAAAATAAAACATAATAAAATAATTCTCACGACGTTTCGGCCACAACGCAAGCAGCCGTCCTCAGGTGGAGAGCAGGTCTGTCGAGAAGACAGAGTCTGTCTTGAGAATTATTTTATTATGTTTTATTTTTTATTATTTTATTATTTCCATTCTACGTGACTTTACCGAAAGAACCAAGAAGATGAATCCCCCCCCCCCCGACCACTGGGTCCGGTGTGATGAGGTCAAGTCTGAGTACCCCCACCTCTTCCAGGACGTCTTGGCCAGCATGGAATAGTCGGCCGAATTCCCGAGGAAGGGGCTGTCTGCATTTCACTCGAGTGGAAATTCTTCCGTCAGCATTGAAGCTGGCAAGCAAACGCGGAGCGGCATTTAAACCTTTCATTTTTACACGTGCGATGATTTCACCTTTTTTTTTAACCTATCATAACTCCAGTCACACAAAGGAACATTTCCAAGTGTGAACATCACTATTTTAATTGGCTCACAGAAAATAATAATGAAACACAAGTGGGGTTTTTTTTTGGGTCACAGCATCATCGTATGATTTATAAACAAGTCTGCTTCAAGATGTTGATCAGGCATTAGGAATTATTCAGTGGCATGTGTGTATAGGTACGGCATGGATCACTACCAATCCTGCAAGTTGCATTTCGGAACAAACCAACACCGGTCACTAAAATGCCACGAAAAGTCGCCTCTTAGACGTGATGTTCTTGGGATCAATTAGTATCGACCGTGATAATTGTATGTCGCATGTTCACCACGGCGCTGAGTTGCCTGTTGTGAGCTTGCACTTGTATGCACGAACATCTGGCAGGACCTGCAGAGTAATCACATGCTTTACTTGTGTAAGAGGCACCTGCTGATCACATAAAATAATGTATGCTTTTGTTATACTAATTTAAACCATGGATTTAAATTACAGATGATAATTATTCTGCCAATGACCAACACACTCAGAATCCACCCAACCTCATCAGATCTGAGAAGCGAAGCGGGGCTTGAGTACGGATAGTGCATGGATGGTCGACCACGACATTTGTCCAACAATCAAATAACGGGACACGTCGCTGATATGAAAACACGACTTCGTTATTTCATTCCGATGACTGGGCGAGAAAGAGGAGGTGTTTGTTTTCACTGATATATGTGCTCGAGATTTTATTTTCTTCAAATCTCTTTTTTGTAATCTGTCTCCACAAGCAGAGTCAGTGTGCCTGTGCTAATGGCCAAATCCCATCGGACCTCGCGAGCTCAGCAGGTTGAAGCTTGCACAGTGCTTGGATGAGTGTCCGCGTGTCCGCGGTTGTGGGAAGTTGGTTGCAGTACAGCAAATATCCAAGTTTATTTCGCATCTCCCTCCTCCCACCCCCTTCACCAACCTGCACTGACCTGCATGGTGAAGTATGGTTGGTCACAGATTGCTTAGTTTAGAATGTTTTTTTATGCTATGCTGAATGGATGAGAATCGTTTGTTGGGCGCCGTGCTCAGACTTGCCGTGTAATTGGTGGCTCGGTACGCTGGATGTGTAAACCCCGCGTGTCTTCGAGTGCTCCTCCACAACCCCCCGACTCTGACCTCGCGCCCAGAGTTCACGATCATTCCGCAGCAGCTACCGACAGGAGGCAGCCACCGGCCCAGCGCTGCCTTGTAATCAACAAAGACAAAGGTCCCCCGTGTAGCCTTAACAGACCGTCGGGGCAAGTGCTGTCAGCGAGTAGCCCCCATGACGGCCGGTACGGCACGGCACACGAGGGGGTGGTGTGGCCCGAACCCGGCCCGACCGCCTTTGTCTCCCCAGTGGCGATGTCTACACGTCGCACCAGGTGCTCATTTGAAGCTGAGTCGACCTCGGCGACGCCCAGGACCGGTTCAGATAATCGTCACTGGAATTGATGGTGGCCGTGAGCGGGCATCGAACTCGGGTGAGCGCCTTCACTACCGCTCCCCACAGGCACACGCAGCGCGCAAACAGCCCTGCAGCGTGACCCTGCAGCGTGACCTTGTAGCGTGACCTTGTAGCGTGACCTCGTAGCGTGACCTCGTAGCGTGACCTCGTAGCGTGACCTTGCAGCGTGACCTCGTAGCGTGACCTTGCAGCGTGACCTCGTAGCGTGACCTCGTAGCGTGACCTTGCAGCGTGACCTCGTAGCGTGACCTTGCAGCGTGACCTCGTAGCGTGACCTCGTAGCGTGACCTTGCAACGTGACCTCGTAGCGTGACCTCGCAGCGTGACCTTGCAGCGTGACCTTGTAGCGTGACCTTGCAGCGTGACCTTGCAGCGTGACCTCGTAGCGTGACCTCGTAGCGTGACCTCGCAGCGTGACCTTGTAGCGTGACCTTGCAGCGTGACCTCGCAGCGTGACCTCGCAGCGTGACCTCGCAGCGTGACCTTGTAGCGTGACCTTGCAGCGTGACCTTGCAGCGTGACCTCGCAGCGTGACCTCGTAGCGTGACCTCGCAGCGTGACCTTGTAGCGTGACCTTGCAGCGTGACCTTGCAGCGTGACCTCGCAGCGTGACCTCGTAGCGTGACCTCGCAGCGTGACCTCGTAGCGTGACCTTGCAGCGTGACCTCGCAGCGTGACCTCGTAGCGTGACCTCGCAGCGTGACCTTGTAGCGTGACCTTGCAGCGTGACCTTGCAGCGTGACCTTGCAGCGTGACCTCGCAGCGTGACCTCGCAGCGTGACCTCGTAGCGTGACCTTGTAGCGTGACCCTGTAACGTGACCCTGAAGCGTGACCTTGTAGCGTGACCTTGTTGCGTGACCTTGCAGCGTGACCTCGTAGCGTGACTTCGCAGCGTGACCTTGTAGCGTGACCTCGTAGCGTGACTTCGCAGCGTGACCTTGTAGCGTGACCTCGTAGCGTGACCTTGTCTAAAGTCGCGGGGAGTTGGCGGGTGCACACATGCACAGGGCGGGGAGTCGGGGGCCGATACGGTGAATGTTAAACAAACTTTAAACAAATGTTAGACGCTTCGCAGAAGATTTAGTGAACGATACGATCTGCTTCGGTGTGTCGTGCGTTCTGCTCTGGCTCTCACCACGCCTGTGAAAGCGAGGGCAGGCTGCCACACCCACGGCTGAATTGTGCTCATCTTTTGAACCAACATTTTTTTGTCTTCTTGGTTCTTTCGGTAAAGTCACGTAGAAGGGAAATAATAAAATAATAAAAATAAAACATAATAAAATACAATTCTCACTACGTTTCGGCCACAACGCAAGCATCCGTCCTCAGGTGAAGAACAGGTCTCTCAGTTGGCTTTAAGAATATTGAATGTGGGGGGGGGGGGGGGGGAGCCACGATCGTGGGAATTGTGGATGGGGGTGAAGGCTAATTCCCTCTCCAGCTCTGTCAACACACAACAGGGCCGCTCACTTACCCTCGTTTAATACGGTATTATGGCTTTCATAAATTCGCCAAAAAAATATAACTCGTTAAATTGTTACGGGGAATGATTCTTGCATATTTCATGGAGTTTGCTGGCAGAGGTGGAGGCGGGGTGGGAGGTGGGGGTGGGTGGCACTGCCATCGTGTGACGGGGGGAGGCTGCGTGCCCTGCCGCTCCCACCACGGCGCGTGGCGATGAATCGCTGCCAGGTTTGTGATAAATCCGGGCACAGCTGACCAACAACTCGCTCGGCGCGGCTCCGTCGCAAGAGGGACGAATCGTTTATGGACGGCGCATCTCCACCCTTCGCCCCTGGTGGCGGCCAGGCCTTCTCGGCGTGCTGGGCTTGCGAGCTACGCGCACCACCTCCCACGACCTTCGTTTGCTACGCAACGGTCGCTGCTGTGCTCTCTCCCCACGTCGACAATTTCAATCAAAGTGATATTCGGCTCAAATGAACATTGATGCATTGCCACTCATCACCCATTCGCAGCCCTGAGCCGGTGGTGGAAATTCGACATTCCTATGGCAGCAGTGAGTCAATCCATAGGATAAGCACCGTTGACTTCCCCATGATGGTACGTATTTTATCGACCCCATAAGGATGATGGGCTGAGTAAACTCCCCCCCCCCCCCCTAACCAGGATTTGAAACCTTCGAAGCTGCTGGGAAATCTGACCAGTAAAACAAGACAATAAAAATTAATTCCTGCCCTGTAAATATACATCACGTAGCATCTTGAGCACGGTGAAACGCACTCCAAATGCGGTCACTTAGTATCCGGTGCACAAGCAGCACGTTCTGGAAGAGAAACACTTTGTGTGTTCCCTTCCAATGATATCTCTGGGGTGCTCCTTGTTATTGCGGATAACGTGCGGGGAAAAACACCCTCCACAAGTGAATATAGATCAGCACCGGGCAGCTGGCACGGAGCTTGGCGCATGGCGAATGTGTTTTTTTTAGACCTCACGGTAATTGAGATGCAAATGTTACCCTTGATGGCTTTCCCTGTAATTCCTGCCACTTGTTTAATTTTCTCCGTAAGTGATGTGAATGACCGTGCTCCTAAAACGCGTTTTGTTTATTTTTGCGCACAAGGCCGACGGTGCCTATTAAGCTGTGTTGCACAAAACAAACGGCATCCCCTACGAATAGGAAATATTTAATGCAATGGACATTAAAAAAAAAGGGCGCCGCAAACATCCACTGAAGAAATGGAACACAATTGGGCTCGGTGCAGCAAAAACAATTCGCGCGCAATGCTCGCTAAAAAAATATAAATCGTTACAGTCGGCACATAGGCTATCTTTTTATTTTTTCAGCTTTTAAAATACAAATACGACGACCAGCATTCCCAACCTAACACATACGCAAATTAAGCTCCATATATTAATACAAAAACATTACAATAAATACAACCAAATCATTGCGCAAATTCGCTAAGGTGCTATAAGTCTGTACAGGTTTACACAATATACAAATATGTTATATAAAAATATAAGCGTATGCACGTGTAAGCGAACACACTAACAAGAGACAGTGAACGAACACAACAGCGGCTGTAAATGTGGTACACGTTATGTTCCAGTGGCATTCCTACTTAGCAGGCGTGTGTCTGGATTAATTGGATTTTGTTTTTGCATAGCGAAATGAAATGTTTTAGACTCGTACACAAAGCAACCAAAGACAGTGCCCAGCTATGAGTTCTAAGCATCATTTGGGACACAATAAACTTCTGAGGCTGAACAAAAAACGATTCAAATCACAACCACGCGTAATCCTACAAGGGGAAACACGGAGAGAAAAGAGAAAATCAAATGTTCTCGTTCTAGATTTGTCCATGGGAGCTTATAGATTGTACAGTTTGACTATGAAGCACAGAGATAAAAAATGTGATTCGTAGCAAATGTCATCAGGAGTTTATTAATAGATGAACTGCATTGATAAAACAACAGTACCTTCATTGAAATTATTTTAAGAGGAATCATATCAGAATATTTCTGCCAATACACCGAATCAAATGTAATGATGACTTTACCAATTAATACAAAGTTGTCATCAATGCACCAATGGCATAATTAGTAATGTATACTGCAGACTGCTAAGAAGGCAAAAAACATGCAAACTTAGAGAATTATTATTTTTTAAATTACCTTATCCTACGCAGTTCATGAATTCCGTTATGATGCAAACAGACATTGTTCCAGCCCGTGTAATATATGAGAACATTTAAACGCGTTCGTGAAAGTGAACTTATGCATTCGTCACAATCGGTAATTGGCAAAGCCGACAATTTCCTCTGGTCGCAGGAGTGCTGCGCCGTGATACTTCCACGTGTCCCGGCACCCACTGCAAGGACTGAAATGCTAATCCGATGTGCTCAGTAAGCACAAGACAATATATATGTATAATTTTGTTTACTTCGCCCAACAGGGCGTTTTATTTATTTTTCAGCTGAAATAAGGATTCTCTTCCAGTAGCGATGGCGTGACATCTCCAGAGGCACAGACGCGTGCATGAGGCCAGTGTAAATTGCTAACTCTATCATCGCGCGCTGTTTACCCAGTGATTTACGCACAGGAATGATCTTGTCATTTCGTGACAAGTTTCTTCATCTCCATAATCTTTCATAAAACCATTTCATTTTCTCTCGATACGCCTATTATAACTTTAAACACACGTTTTGAGCATGGCGGTTTTTCACTCGACTAGATTATTATCATCATCATCATCCGAGGACATTTTGCTCACTTCTACATTCCCGTACATCATTACAGTCGTGTGACTAACGTCGCCTCGGATCCGGGGGAAGTACAAAACGCCTCGACTCCGACGTCAGAGACGCTTAACGACCTCCGCTCGCCGCCGCCGCGGTGCGCCTCAGCAGTAGAAGATGAGCTCGGGGATCTGTCCGCCCTGCACGCCGGTGCCGTTGGTGCTGTCCGACGAGCACTGGAACTGGAAGGTGACGTTCCCGCACGTCACCTCCGTGAGGCCCTCCTGCCCAAAGTAGCTCAGTTCGCTGCCCTCCAGCACGACGCTCGCCGTGTAGAAGGCGTCGGGCTCGATCCGCACGGGGTGCTCGAACCAGACGGGGAAGGTGGACGAGGAGCCGTCGGAGGCGAAGGTGGTCTGGCGCTGCGCCAGCAGCCCGCCGCCCTGCCGCTTGAGCTCCAGGCCGACGCCGTACTCGGCGCGCTTGCCGCTCGAGCCGTACAGCCCGAGGCCCGACAGGAAGACGCGCTGGTCCACCGCGAACTGGATCGAGTCGCAGCGGCCCCGGTAGCGCCACTGGTTGCTGCGGTAGGCGCAGCTCTGGAAGCGGTGGCAGCGGCGCGGCGGCAGGCCCGCCCGGCCCTCCGTGGGGAAGGGCAGCGAGGGCTTGAAGCGCGCCGTGTGCCACAGGAAGACGGCGTTCACCTCGGTGGGCGTGAGCAGCCCCGACTGCGCCACCACGTCGGCGAACTCCTCCACGCCCATTGCGGGCACCCGCAGCAGGTGCAGGGTCCGGCCCAGCGCGCGGCGCCGCCCGGCGGGCGTGGGCGCCAGGCCCCGGCGGGCGCACTCGGCCTCGGCCCAGCCGAGGGCGGCCTCGAAGACGGTGGCCTCGGTCGCGTTGAGGGTGTCGCGCGCCACCACGCTGGCCAGCGTGGCCTCGTCGAGCTCGCGGAACGCCTCGGAGCGCAGCGCCAGCTCGGCCTGCGCGTCCACCACCTCCCAGCAGTGCTGCGTCAGCTCCGGCTCGCCGAAGAGGCGGCCCTGCGACAGCAGCGTGCACGCGTTGGCGGCGCTCAGCTCCGTCTCGAGGAAGGCCACGCAGGCCCGCGCGAGGTCGGGCACCAGGTACTTCTTGGCGGCGTACAGCGTGGCGAGGGCCGTGTCGGCGTCCAGCTCCATCTCGTCGCAGTAGAGGTAGCTGCGGGTGCATCGCGGGAGAGGGAAAGAGGGAAAGGTGCGGCCCTGCTCGTCGTGAAGGCTCTTTTGGGTTCGATTGCTTAAATATAAATGTGTGTCGCCACCAGCCGACACGGCCAAGTAGTAAGGTTTGTGACGTAAACAAAACGTGCCAATTAGTTTTATTACTCAGCCCACCGGTGTGTTGGAGAGTAAACCCACAGCATCTACAATGCGAGTATGACGTGTACAACCCTGCTGCTGCTGCTGTTGTCGGCACGACGCTCCTGGTGGTGGACAAGGGCCTCCTCGCTACAGGGAGTTCCGGAGAGCTCCTCGAAGAAAATAATACGGTCTCACCTCCCACGTGGCCAAGACGTCTTGGGAGAGGAGGGTGAACCCACACGGACAGAGAGTGTGCAACTGGGTGCTCGGGCTTCTAAACATTTGTTTACTTAATGCGGGAGGTGGAACGGTGGCGCAGTGGTTAGCACGCTGTCAACGTGGCGACCCGGGCGACGTATAAACCCGTCCTCAGTGCCCCCCCCACCACTTCACTAACCCGCGCTGCCCAGCGTCGTGACGCAAGTTCAAATATTCTAAAAATAACACGTGCCGCACAGCACGGCGTGGGGAGGCGTTGCTCCGGCAGCGGATGGACAAAAGGGGCGGCGCGCGGCTGGGCCGACGGGGAGGCCGGACGATGTCGCGGCTGTGCGTTACCGGAGCAGCGCGAGGAAGGCCGTCGGCTCCACGTCGGGGATGTGAACCTCGTGGCCGCTCTCGGCGAGGCCGCCGTAGAACATGGCGTAGAACACCGAGCTGCCCACCGCCAGCACGTACTGCCGAGACACAGACAAGCGCCGTTAGCGAGGAGGGGCGGCACCCGCGAAGGCCGGCGCGGCACACGAGCGGGTGGGTGGGTGGCCGGCACCACGCCCGGCCGCCTTTGTCTCCCCGGTGCCGAAGCTTACGACACACCGCACCAGGTACTCGTTTGAGGCAGAGTCCACCTAGGGGAGGCCTAGGACCGATACAGATAATCGTCGGTGGGGTTGGCCACGAGCTGCAATAGAACTCGTGTCACCGGGTTCGGAGCGCATTGTGCTAACGATTGCACTACGGCTCCCCACGGACCGCACACACGCAGCACGGACAGGGTGGAAGAGGAGGTCAAAGGGCAGGGGAGCTGCCACTGTGGGTGCCGTGGCTCAGACAATGGGTAAGAGACACCCACAAAAACATTTTGACAAAAAAAATCGTGGAATTTTTCACTCCGTGTTTTTTTCTCTCTCTCCCTTCAACGACACGCGATTGTTCATCGTTTTGACGATAGAACCTTGAAAAAGAAACACAAAGTGCCTGCCCTTTATAGCTCAAAACTGAGGCAGTGGCCAGGAGTCGCATCGATTCATTGCAAGTATACGGCGATTCAACAAAATGTTTGGCGATGCTGCATTGCCAATGGTGCGGTGCACAAGCAGAATTAAGAAAAAAAAACCTAAACACATTCGTCAACAGCGCCGTGGCCTTTAAAAGTCAAATAAATAATAGACAACGTATCGGGCAATGACCCTTTCTTCAAAGCACATCATTTATGAGCTCTGAAGAAGGGCCATTGTGCCACGTCTCGTTCTATTTCCACACACACACGCACACAGTAGTATGGTAGCATTACGATTATCCGTGGCGGTGTGGGCCCGCGAACTTTGCGGAGCCTCTCTGCAATCTACCCAAGAAGCTCCGGGAACCGTTCGCTCATCGGCAGGCCGCCCCCAACTTCCACCGTGAGACGGTGCAGCTGCTAAGAGGCGGCAACAGCTGACATTCTGTGATAGTCGGCGCCAAACTTAGCTACTCGCCCCCCTCTCGCATGGCCTTGTACTTCCGATTCCGTTCCGATGACGTACAGTTCTTTATTGCAAGGCCCGTGGGCCACTGCCAGCCCCCTGGCGGCCTTTAGTGGGGCCCCCAACAATACACAAAAGTGAAAACACCCTCCCCCCCATCATCGTCGTCGTCGTCGTAATCGTGCTGCTGTTAATGCCCGGCAGTGGTTGATAATGTGTGGGGAGCGGGGGGGGCCCCCCTCACACTGAAAATGTCGAAAGTCCCCCCCCCCCCACCCCCCGGCTCTGACAATGAGCGAAGGACCCTGGCGAACGCGTACGTCATCGGAACAGAATCGCAAGGGGACACATACGGTGACGCTCACGCTCACGCACGCACGCACGCACGTCACCGGAACGGGATAAAGGGTTCAAGGCGGCCGCTGTGATTGTCGTCCGAGTCCCGGCGCCCCGTCGCCCCGTCGCCCCGTCGCGGCGGCACCGGCGGCGCTCACCTTGTGTGCGGGGATACGCTTGGTGGCTCCGGGTGGCCCCACCACAAAGTGCACGTCGGCCATCATCTCGCTGTTGAACATCACCGCGTTCCTGCAACGACGAGGGGGGGGGGGGCGGGGGAGAGAACATCGGCACACTGCAGCCCGACTTACTATGCAAACATTTGTCCAGCGCCGCTCATCTTAAATTCCACAAACACGCAGCATATGCCCAAACACGCAGCAATCACACATCCTTGTTTGCTAATTAGCGAGGACGGAAACCAGAAGGATGAAACTAATTTAAATGCGATTTTTGTGTGAAATATATATATAATGTGTGCCACTAACGTGTACGCTGAATCTACGAGTGTGTTCCAAGGTGCTCATTTCTGTTCTCACTCTCAAGACAACTGAAAGGAATGCAGCACGTGCTCTCACATCGCGATACGGTTTAGGCTGACGACAATAAGTGCAATTTTGCTTAGCCCATGTCTGTTTTCAATGCATTATGATTTAAATTTTCCACAGATGTTGGTAAAGTGGCACAGAAACCACTGCAAGCAATGCAAATTGGTCTACTCCTAAATACGTGAGCCTTACATCCAAAAAACTCTACCTTATCGTATTACAAACATCTGCACTGTGTATTGCTTCATACGCAATAGTCGGTTTCCTGTGTCGATATATATGATAGGTGCATGTTTATTTGCAAGCCTTAACTTGACAAATGCATCCAAGTGTGATATATATACCGAAATCTACACGGCAGATATTATCAAGTCATTAGTGTAACCCTTCATCACATTCGTATACTGACATGCACCCTCACATGTACAGGAACCCCACTATGAGGGATGAGCTCTGCTCTTTATTTGTATTCGCAAAATATTTTTCTAAATAATTTCAACAGTAGAATATCCCCCTCCCCCACTCTTTAATTTAAGCATATATGGCCAGTGCTCAAGATTTTCATTTTGGAAGATAACTGACAGTTTGCGACCTGCATCCATAAACATTTTAAAACACTATCATTATAAAATCTGAAACGTGCCTATAAAACAGAATGGGTTTCAAAGCCACTCTGTCCATCCATCCGCCCACCTCTCTCTCTTTCTCACTTGCAGACGTGAACCCAAGAACCAGCCATGATGATGCATGGCCGGCTTGTGGAGAGGGGCCCTCCCCTACTCCTGGGTTGTGACTCAGCTCACGGAATCGTTATCGGTAAATACTGAGCCAAAGCGCGGCAAGAAATGAAAGCCGACGCGCAAACTGACTGCATAAATAAAGAACACAACGGCAATCTAAAATACGTGCGCGTCTCTTTCTATGAGAATTCGCTAGAACGAGCTGTTTGCGATTAGACCCACTTGTTCGCAAAACGAGCAAATGTTCACGTAACGAGCGAGGAGACCGGTCGATCGCAATACGTTCTGTGGGTGGGTGGGAGAGGGGTGGGTGGGTGGATGGGAGAGGGGTGGGTGGGTGGATGGGAGAGGGGTGGGAGGGGGTGGATGGGAGAGGGGTGGGTGGGTGGATGGGAGAGGGGTGGGTGGGTGGATGGGAGAGGGGTGGGTGGGTGGATGGGAGAGGGGATGGTGGGTGGGTGGGGGCGCTAATTATTTGTCGAGGCTGAGGACAGGCACCTGGAATCACTTTGGTGTTGTTACCTTTCATGTTTTATTACTCTATTTAAACAATTAAAAAGTGTGGCACATTTTTTGGGGGCTGAAACCTCGGCTTTGAACATGAGAGTCAATGAGAAAACGACGATCGAATTTTCGCTTAACGAGCAATTTTCGATGAACATTATCACCGCTCGTTCAGCGAGACGCGCCAGCATTTCACTTTTACAACCTCTGGACTTGTGCCACCCCCGTCACAGGTGTAAAATGTACAGCGAGGACACCAAATAAGGTGCTGCGTTCTCGCGCGACTCTAAGATGACCTCACCTTCACCGCTATTCTTGGGGCAATTTGGGTAAAACTACGCACAGCACCGGGCAATACATATTTAAAAATACACCAGCACTCAGCGTCACTCTTATCAGATGAAATAGTTTCACTGTAGTCGAACTGCTTGCTGCCCCGTTATAGATGGCCACTTTCTCCCAAATGTTGAGGGCAGACTTTGTCTGAATTTTTTTTTATTAAAATAAATCTGTAAATTACAAAAAGCTGATATCTGCCATATGATTTTCTCATGCAAAGGTGACCCATTAATATAATACGTAAAGTATAGTTTACTAGTCACAAGTTGGCATTATCTTTTGTATTGTATAATACCACATTGCTCTTTTCAACGCGTGATTATAGCACTGATATATGTAGGGTGGCACTGCATTGGCAGCGGTGCACAGGCACACACAAAAGCATTTAAAAACTCAATAAAATCGTCAATAACACTGTGGCCTTTAAAATAACAAAATTACTTAATAGGTGGCATTTCGGTTAATGGCCCTTGTGAAGAAGGGCCGTCGCCTGTAACGTGGCCTACGATAGACTGTGTTACCCTTTTGCTTTTGAAGGCAGTGTTATCGACGAATACGTTGAGTTGTATGTATATTTATACAGGGAACAGCTCATACTGTATTCCAATCCGTGTGTGTGTGTGCATACAAGTATGCACATTATGGTAGATTTAGTGAGTTTCCATAAAAAATATGGAAGACTGTCAAAATGTTTTGAGCACATATGTACATTAAGCATACACTTCAATCGTTTAAAGACTGTATAATCGGCACTAACACAAGTGCAATTATTTTAAAACAATTCCTACAATCTAATGGTGCTCTGCAATCAGCACAGTATTACGCCGGCATGACATCTCACTCGCATCTTTCCGTATCTCCACCCCTCAAATCGGCTTAAGGCGGTGCTTAATAATATTTTTCTTGACGTGTGTAATGTAAAAAAAAAATCCAAAGCAGCTTATGAATGCGGCCGACATATTTGCGGTGCCATAACAACACGCCAGCGTACACCGATTCGTGAGCTGCGTTTCTGCGGCTGCAGATGTTGACGACGCAGGCGGTTATTATGTCACCTTGTCCAATTGTGAAACTCTGGTGTGGGCAGGTGTGCGTTGCGAGGCGACATTGTCAGACGCATGCCTGTTGGGCAATGCAATCTGTTCCAGGCTGCAGCCGTTCATCAGCATGAGTTGCTAAATCTTCTGTGATTTCAGCACTCTGTTGTTTTTGCCAGGTGAGCAGAGACTCAAACCAATTTCAGTCCCTGTCACTTGGAGGGCCCAACAATCTGGACCACACCAAGTCTTGAATGTAACAAAACATGCGTGGCCCTCTTGTTTATGGCAGCCCGCAATACTCCCCGAGTTGCATTGTCTTGCCTGTGCTACAATTTGTGCTGTTCAGGAGAGCGCAGGTTACATCAAGTTTCGACAAGGGACAATGGTTTATCATGCAATTAAATGGCTTTTAAAAAGCCATTTAATTTACGAGTCAGCCAGGTTGGAATGTTTACACAATGACCTTTCCCGAGCATTGTGTCAGGACAAAACAAGCTCTACTCTTAAAGCTGTCCCTCGATTGTGTCATTGTTCGACTCACAAACGGGTCTGGCGAGGGGGGAGGGAGGCTTAATTGCAGCATGTGGCTAACAGATGCAAAGTGGAACATTATTGCAGTTCTACTTGCATGTGTAGGAAGGAAAGGAACTTACGAAATAGCATTTTTTGGGGGGTTGGGGGAGTGGGGTGGAATTAAAATTTGCACCGATATTAGTGGACAAAAATGCATTTGTGAGCCGCTTAAAAAAAATCGTGGGCTTAAATTCAATAACCTGCAGCAGGCACTGAGAGTGTTTTCACATCACCGACCGCTCTTTGCGTCCATCACCCGCAGCCAATGGACTGCGGGCCTAAAATGTCAAACGCAATACAAAGGTCAACCTCCGCACAGATGATCACAGATTAACGCACGTCAAGACGAACTGGGTGGAACGTTCTTTGAACCGGATTAAACGCGCCGGTATTGCGATATCGAACCAACACACACACACGTATATATATATTCTGGATGCACGTCTGTGCCACAAAAATAGTTTGGCAAATCTGCCACAATTCAAAGTGAGATGTAAGCGGCTCAGTAGATGCTACATTCATAGTGCATCACATCGTGGGTATACCGTTTTCTAAAATGAGTCGAGTATAATAATAATAATGCATTAGTTGCTGTGGTCAGTTTGTTTCATAAGTGTTTTATTTGAAATTGACTTGGCACCGCGGACAGAAGTGAAACTTGACCAGAGAGCGATGTAACAATGAGAACCCCGCGGAAGGGCCTTGAGGTTGCCTCACAACGTGCCGGAGACGTCCCCCGCTCCAGGTGCTCGCTGCAGCGATCTGCTGCCCACGACCACGAGTGGAATACAAAGATCCCCCGTATAGCCGTGGCAGAATGTTGGGGCAAGTGCTGTTAGCGAGCACCTATGAAGGCCGGCACGGCACACGACGGGGTGGGTGGCCAGCACCACGCCCGGCCGCCGTTGTCTCCCCAGTGGCGATGTTTACACATCGCATCAGGTATTCATTTGAGGCCCAGGACCGGTTCTGATAATCGTCACCGGTTTTGGCCGCGAGCGGGAATCGAACTCGGATGGCCGGGTTCGTGGCGCAGCGTGGCGCTAACCACTACACCACCGCTACCCAAATTGTCTCACAATGTGCCGGAGACATCCCCTGCCCCAAGTGATCACTGCAGCAATCGGCTGCGCCGCAACGCGAGTGGAATAGGAGGCCACACGCACACACACACACACTACCTCCTTTATCTCCGAAAGAAGAGGATAGATTGATGACCAAGCTGAGGAGGTCCAATTACATTGGCAATATCTCCTCCATTGCCTCACAAAAGAGAGATAGCAAGCGCTTCTCTTTCTTATGGTGAACGATCAGATAAGAAATTAAATAATTAATTAGAATACAGGGTGGTGGTCCACGTCTTTTGCGACCCCCGATTAATTGACCCCCTCCCACCAAACATTTTTTCTCTTTTTCTTCTTAATTTCTGTTTTCACACACACTGGAATACAAAAATATGAAGTTTTAGGGAATTAAATGGGGGTCACACGACATCTGCACCACTGTATATTTAGTAAATTCATGATGTTAGTAAATCCACGAATGCCACCATTGCATTGAGATTATTTTGGTGCTATAAATGTCCAAACGATGGGCCACTTCGTTGAGCTATGATTTGTGGCCAGGTCGCTTCTGAAAAACAAGTTCATACCTCGGTGGGCTTTGCCTGGTAGGATGGGGATGGTTTTGTGTTGTGTTTGTACGTGTTTGGGTGATTTGTGTTACCTTTCTTGTACTTGGCACTCCTATCATGTTACATGTTGTACTGTTTGTTGTTGTAACGTTATTACCTGCCCTGACTGGACATCTGTGAAAACGAGCTTCATAGCTCATCGGATTTCTCCAGTTGAAATAAACATTCTGAACTGTGGACAGGCGAGCAGTAGCTGCGGCCACTGCGTGCGTCACGTGGGCCGAGAGCGACTGCTTGCTACCCTTGGACAGCTGCCCCATCATCACAAGACGCGGGCCGTACGCCGTCAAGACAAAGAGTCGCCACTGAAAGTGTAGTGGGACGCAGAGGAGGAGGAGGAGGTGTAATACAGCTGCAATAAGTTAACAGCAATGAGCTATGGAGGAACTTTAGCTTATTGGAAGTAGGACCACCCTCCTTCACGTCTCAGGAAATTCAACGTAGATGCATTGCCCTTCGTCAATCCATGCTTGCCCACGCTGGTCAGTGCGGGTTTGAAAGTGAGAGATGCGTGGATTTATTCTGCGGCGTCCCCCGCTGCTTTTAACATCGCCTTCCGCATCCTATAACACCTGTTATGCACGGTTGCCCATCCAAGCACTGCTAATGGTCAACCCCTTTTTGTATCTCAACCTTGCTTATTTGCCCAGGATCTGACGATATTGGGCACGTTACCGTTCAGGTGATCGTGATCATAATTTGTGTTGAGACGCAGAGAAAAAACAAAATCGTTATGGGCAACTCACACCTCGACAATCCGGCCAAATCACACGACACTTTTGCGATGTATGTATGCATGTTGAACTTCTTTCGCCCCATACGTAGCCAACCGCAATAATGGGAGCTGCGGAGAAAGGACAACAAACTCACCACGAAAATTAGTTATAAAGCAATAAGCTTTAAATTTAGATTTCAAAGTGCAAAACTCTCGTGACTTCCAAATATCGAAAGGAAGAGCTTTCCAAAAGGACGGAGAAACGGATCTGAAAGTGCGT